CCTGAGTGCTGCACAACAACATTCAATGTTATTGCATTAATGTCAACTTTAATGCGATGGTGTTGTGTTCATTATGCTGCTCTTTTTTGCTCGGAACCCCCCCAAACAGGTGAATTTTCAACAGGAGATTTTTCTTCTTTTTAAATAGCCTTTCTGTTTTAAAAAAAAAAAAAAAAAAAAAAAAAAAAAAAAAAAAACTTGGCAGTTATTAATCTAGTCAGATCATACAGAAACGAGATGAAATAAACAAAGATGTGTATTTCATGAGTGATTTTGTACAGAGGCACTGTAAAAGTAGTATTTTATTAAACATGAAAAAAAACTGTACATACTGCACTTCAAGTCTGCAATTAGGGATACAACAATACTGATATGTACCATGACTGTGGCAAAGGGAGAAGTCACATGATGATCTAACATTCAAATATTAAAGATAAAGGTTTAAAACCTCACAGGGAGCGCTGTAACAGTTCAGAAAGGCCACACATACAAAATAATGGAAGACGTTTAGGGTTAAATCCTATAAAGTGTCATGTTGCACGTGTTCATTGTAAAGCTATATATCTAAGTGTAACTTTTACTGAATATTTGAAACCCTCTCAAACGATTTCAGCTTCTGTCCACCAGTTTGCAGTTAGAAAAACTTGTAACTGAGGTGTAGTGTTGTCTTCTTTGTTCCCCTTGTCTTCTTCAAAGCTCCCCGGCATCATGGATCTTTCCCTCTTCTACCTCCTCCTCCACACTTGTCTCCTCCTCAGCTCCTTCTTTGTCCCCCATGTCTCCTTTCCACACCTCCTTTAGACATTCTGAGGGAAGGAGAGAAAGAAAACACAAAGGGCTGTGTGGTTTCAGTTCACATTTCAGTCACTTTACATGCAAACAAACATTCTCCGATAGCTGTGGTTAAAAATAAATAAAAATAATAAATGCACAGCATCATCCATGCTTACAGTTGGAGGACTTTGTGCAAGCATGTCTGAGTAAATCTCTCCCTCTTTGTAGCCAAATATCTACAAATGGACACAAACACTAACAAATGTCCAAACCGCAGGGCGAGCAGCAGGACTCCCTTACAGAAAAGGGCAGACATGAGTGATAACAGGATTAGCAATAATTCAGTGAGACACAGCATCAAAGATGAGTTTGGGTGCAGGTGGTTTGCAAAGTGGCTTGCAGGTAACCAAATGAAAACAGAATTGGCTCTTTGCATGTACTCACACCACAGTTCCAGTTTATCCTAGAATCTGACGTCCTCTCTTTTGCTCACATACACACTTTAAAAATGTTGTATTGTATAAATTTTGTGATTTGACTTCAGGGCCTGTTTGAATTAACCCTGGGCTCGATTCAATTTACAAAACAGAGGAAATGAGAAGTTCTTATTTTCTCTGTTGCTTTTCCTGGTATATGAATGTAATCATTTTGGCAGGGTGTTTACATTCTCAACAAAGTGCGACTTAAAATATAAATATCATCTGCCAACCAGTAACTTGTTTTGGCACCATGCATCTCCCACCTTGCTCTGATGTCTCGAGGACGTGGTTCTCACAGAGGAAATTCTCCAGCCTCTGGTCCTGATGATGGAAGTACCAGTTCTCCACCACATCCTCATACTGCTCCAGCATAGTCTCACACTAACACACACCAAGTAATTAATATCAATTAATTTAAGTGTACACTACATTAAACACATTTCCTCTTGGTTTCCATAGCAGCACCTGCATAATGCCCACCACAATATAGTGTAATATGACAAAATGATTACATATAGTGTCATCAAATAACTTATGCACTTTACAAAATGTGGAGCAAAACGTGCATTTAAAACACACACACACACACCTACCTGTTTTTTCATGTCTGTCACCTCCACGGAGGGCTCGTCCCACAGCTCGTACGGCATCCCCAAGTCCACTTGAACCCCTTTGTGTACCAGATTCTTCAGGGTCGTCATGGTCTGACTGGAGCCCTGCAGACACACAAACGAGCTAAATGTCAGTCTGACACACAAACTGAAGCAATAAGGACCACGTGACCAACTTTTTAATGCACAACTATTAAAAAAAACTGTTAGATTACCTTAGCATATCTCAGGCTGCCAGGCCTCTCTGCATGAACATTATACTCCAGGATGCGCTCGCATATGTTGTCTACAGCCTCAGTCAGCCGAGTTTCCCTGCATTCAAACACACGGGGTTAACTACTGGTCTCACAGTCAGACACAGGTCACTAGTGATGTGACGTTCTGTATCGAGGCTTCGGAGCGTGTGTCGAGTAATGGAGGGGGCGTTTCCGCGAAGCGCGTATCGAGGCTTGGTTCATTTATGGGAGGAGCTGAAAATGATGACGTCCGAAGCCTCGCTGCCCGGCTATACCACGTGACTGGTTCATGAAGTGGTTCGAACTTAGCCGCGAGATATGACAGCGATATAAACCCTTCAGATTTCATTCAAAATGTGGGTGTTTGATGGAGAGTTGCGGTTAGTGAGAGTTTGGAGGTTTAGGAAAGTGAGGAGAGAAAGTCAGGAGAGAATGGAGCCAGCTAAGAAGAGGAGGATGTCCTCCCCTGTGTGGGAACATTTTGATTTTATTCCTCCCAACAAGGTATGTAAATTTCTACAGAAGATGTATTTTCATGATACTGATGGTGCAATACAATTTATGTTGAGCTGTCTTGACTTTTGTACAAGGTGAAGTGTTTGCTATGTGCCAGGGAGCTGGGATATAACAACAACATCCATGCTTAGGCACTACAGAGCTTTGCATGAGAATAAGAGGAACACCGATTGTGGAGCAAGACCAGGTGAGCCATCAAATGTAATGATAATATAGCATGCAGTAATGTTACTAAATGATATAACAATATTATACAACTGTAATAAGTTACGTGTGTGATATTTATATTTGTGCTTTGTCTTTATTGTCTTTCCTCAGGAGAACAATCTCCAATAGATGAAGACCTGGTCAGCATGGTGATTGAGGACTCACAGCCATTTAGCATTGTGGAGGACAAAGGATTCAAAAGATTTGTTAAATCATTAAATCCTAGCTATGTTCTCCCCACTAAAAAGGTCATAAAAGCAGTGAAAATTTAGTTTTTACAGAATAAAATGTGAACAGGCAGGACTGAGGCTCAAAGCCTCAGTGTGTAGCTGTCCATACCTCAACGTTACAAAAGCACAACCACTGTCCACACCCCAACCACACCTCACCTCACAGTAAATGATCATTTCCATTTCAAGCATTTCCAAATAATCATTTTCCATACTGCCACTATAAATATACACAGTATACTGCCATCACTACAATATACATGTTTTACACACTCCTTTTGTTGTTGACATTTACAGGCTGTGTGCAAAATGCCACACTCTTCAAATTCATGCCAGCTATTATTTTTACGTCCAGTAGGTGTCCTGCTAGAGCAAATGAAGCTTCATGAAGCTTCGCGTTGGGGTGAACCAATTGGATGAAAAGCTTCAGTGCTTCATGGGGCTTCATCTGCCCATCACTACAGGTCACAGCCTGCAGTACAGCTCAAACATGCCACAAAGAAATCCCAGCTTCAAATAAGTTGCATGTCCTCATTCAGAGATACCTACGAGGTGTTGTATTTGATCTTTTTCCTTCTTTTGCCGGTGCCCAACACTTCTCCGACCTCCAAGACTTCACGGGAGCGAGCGGTTTTCTCCAGAGCGTCCTGCAGCTCGACTGTCAGAAACTTACACACTGACCGAGATCAGAAGTCACACGTTAACAAGAAGTTTGGTAACTGTGGGCAGGTCCAAGAATAGCTGCTGGTGCTAGTTTCTGCTCCTACCTTCGCATTTATTCGGCAGCCTCTCGTTTTCTTCCGCCGAAATAAAGCCGCAGAGCCAAAACAAAGACACAACGGCAAATTTCATTGCAACGGTTCGCTTTAAAACCTGCGGGAAAAGTCAAACTACCACGAGTTTAAAGGCACAGGAGCCACATCGGCGTATTTGACGGCGAATTTAAACTGCGCGTGCGTAGTACGTCATAACAGACGTAACTAGTCGATGCATGATGCTGCGATGTCAGGCAAGATAGTCTATCCACAAACGTTAAAGAGCTCAGTTTTGAGTTCAGTTCTTTACTAATAAATGTATAAGCTCTTAGAATCAACGTCACTTATTATTCTTTTAATAACTTTAGTTTAATGTATTTATTTTTTAACATTAGTGTATTTATTAGTATTTTTTTAAAAGGGTCCCACTCCTAAAAACAGAAAAGTGGTGGCTCTGAAGGAAAAACGGGTTCCAAACCACTTCCAGCAACATGTGGCTAATAAAGTGGACAGTAACTGTATATAGAAATGGCAGAAATATTTACAATATAATGCACATAGATATATTAACATGAAATAAAAGGATTATGCATATTGTCTCTAAACATATTATTTAAATAAAATGATCATAACCATGTAGACACATGATTAACAATCATATCCAAAAAGTGAAATATGTGAAAATGAATTTACCGTATGTTTTTATGTGACATAAAGAATTTTTTAAGTCAAAACAATTGAATGAAACTACTGAAGTTTCAGTATGTTGCCAGGTCGCATGGATGTTATACATCATCAGCAAGTGTATTTCTAAAAATATAGAGTTTAACAAGTGGATACAGTATTTCATATTGTGTACAGTAGTGTACACAATATAAAATCTAGATAGACAATTACACAGATGGTCAGACTAAACAGAAGAATAATTTAAGCACAATCTGTTCTTTGTTTTTTAATATATCAGTAGCTTGTCAGTTTTCACTCTGCTCCTCAATGTGTTCCTTAAAAAGCTGCTGCTGCTGCTGCTGCTGCTGCTGCTGCTGCTGCTGCTGCTGCAGGGTGTTATTATTGTATATGAATGCGGGATTATTGGCCTGGTGTTCAGCAGTGAAGTAGTTAACATAGGAGCGCTAGTCTCTTGGTTTCTCAGGTGTCAGGAGCAGCACACTCGACAGCAACAGATCAACAGATACTCCAGCAGACTGTGCGGGAGAAGATAGAGAGGAGAAGAAAGAGGAGAAGAGACTACACAGATAAGACAGAAAAAGAGAAGCGAGGGAGTCACAGGCCATGTTCAAGTGAGGAGAGAAAAGAGAAGATATGAGACTCGAGGAGAAGAGGACAGAATGTGCACAGTCACCAAACAGAAAAGCTGAGGCAGCAGTAAGTGATATGAGCGCAGATATACAAACACACAACCTTAGGAAACACATTTGTTGATGTTCTTCAGATGATGTCAGAGGATAAACTGTTCGTCTTGAATGTCTGAACCTTGAGTCACTGCAGTAACTGTGTGAGGATTTCCAAGTCTCTAATTGTGTTATTACACCTGGTGTGGCGGCTGTCTGTCTATTGTCTGAGTGAAGGGAGATAAAGTTACACACACACACACACGCTCATGCATTAGCTCTAAAAACTGCACACACAGTCATGGTGTGAGGAGTTGTGTTTCACGTTCAATTTTTTTTCATCCAGGTCCAATGGCACAAATATGACACCGAGTTAATTACCTGGTGGAGATGTAGCAAACACTCCTGACACATTCAGAGGAAGGGACAACATTAACTGCTGCTGACTCTGGGATAAGGAAGAGGAAAAAGTGGACACATGTTGGCTGTTTTTGTTGTTGTTTTTGGGTTTTTTTTAATTATCCTCAAAAAAATGAGGATGACTAAATGACTAAGGGAATCCACTGACGGGGCTCAGCACAAAGGTCCATCTTAGGAAGCAAGTGGATAAACTTCCAGACTTGAAGGTAAAATATATGTTTATAGAGCCATGGCAACAATGTAGGTCTACTTTTCAAATTTACTAAATGACAATATTAAGAATTGTAATTTAATAAAAACTTAAAGTCGATGCACTACGAACACTAAAAAGTGAGTACTGGAAAGGTGATCTGCCAAACTAATGCACTAACCAAGCAAACTATTGTAGGAAAAATCATTTACTAAGCAATTAAAGTCTCATGAAGTCCAAAAAGCAGACCCTAAAGTTGGAGTTTTTATTGGGAACTTTTAAGGAAAGAGAAAATTATATACATTTGTAAATTTATCTTAAATACTTTGTGTTGAATGACTAGTGATATCTCGTTATTATCTTAGTTGATTACCTAAAGTGAGCTTATACATAAAACACTATAAACAGAGGATCTGATCAGCAACTATGATTTTTATTAACCTAAGATTGTTTTAAACTATATGAAAAATTTGAAATTAAAAATGGATTTCAAAAGTTACTACAAATCTGACTTTGAACCCTTTTCAGTTTATTAATCATTCCTGAATGATTAATTATTCAAATACAAGAACTTTGATTTGATGCTCACTGGGAGCAAATGATGATTTGTTTTGTGTGTGTTAGGATACTTTTTATAAAGTGTTGCATAAATGAAAAAGGGTCATTTTAGTCGATTACTAGGTGGTTGCTAGGCAACGTAATGACACGTTGATATCGGAAAAATATAAAAACATTCATTGACCTAAGATGTATTTTTGTGCCAGATAGGGTTGGAGTTCACAATCAGTGAAACAAATAAACACACAGCAAGACAAAGATTTCATTCACTATAATAAAATTAATTATTCCTCGTAGTGAATTTGGTTTTCAGTATAACAAAAATAGACTCAGATCAGGCTCATCCAAAGTAACAACCATCTGTTTAAAGAGTCAAAGTACTGCACAACAACAAAACAAACATGTAGCACCTGCAGATAAATTCATAGAAATGTTACTAAAAGTACTCAATCTATTGGTGAGAGAAGGCAACATCACCAAAATCGGCATCTAATCCAAAAGCATCAAGGAAAAGACATTCATCAATTCCTGCAGCTTGATGTCGTAAAAATGTGTGTTTATAGATTTTCCTTCTCATTTGGTACATCTGTGAAAAGATTGTATGAGAAAAAAAGCCATAAAATAGATTTCACCAAAAAGTGATAACGCTGACCTCCTGGCACACTCTCTCTGGCACTGAATCATTCTGCTACACAAACAGTTAAAGTTCAACTATGCTCATACTGCTGACTCCTTCCTGAGTTCATATCACTGATGACGAAAACAGTGCTCTTACTTTACTGCTGTCCTCACCCTGTGGCCCCAAAATACACACTGACCCCACAGAACACCCCCAGCTACCTCTGCCATGAGCTACATACCCCTTTAGATTCAGTTCGATTAGTTCAATGTTATGTAGCCTGCATATTAATACTTACACAGTAGTTACTGTGTGCTTACTCAGTACTTGGATGTTATACTTGCATCATCAGGACTTTCAACAAAAACTTAAAACATGCTCCATTAGGTGGTTTTATGTACATTTTAAATTAATACACTTTGTGAATTTCAATGAACTTTTATCAATAAGTTAAACGATGACAGTGTTTGAAATTTTACTTTGACATTTTGGTTAAGTGGGAATTATATGAACTGTGGGGTTCACCTTAATGGGACTGCACAGAAAAGTCTCTAGGCAGGTTGCAGCCGGTCAGTGTGATGTGATACTGTTTGTAATGTTTAGTTGGGCAAAACAAATAATAATATTAAGTGAAGTAGTGTGAAAGATCTCAACTGTCATTGAAACAGCAAAGTCATTGGCATCTATCAGTCTGGAAGGTATTACAAAGCCATTTCTAAGGCTTTGAGTCTCCGGTGAACCACGGTGAGAGCCATCATCCAAAAAGGAAGAAAACTTGGAACAGTGTGAACCTTCCCAGGAGGGGCCGGCCTGCCAAAATTAACAGAAGAGGGCATTAACAACTCATCCAGCTCACAAAAGAACCCAGAACAGCATCTAAAGAACTGCTTGTCTCACATTTACCAAAAAACATTTTGATCATCAATTCAATAAAATTTTGTTTATAAAACACCAGATCACAGCATCAGTTGCCTCAAAGTACTTTATATTGTAAAAATCCTACAATAATACAAAGGAAACAGAGTAAACCCCAACAACCATATGATTCTCCAGTGAGCATGCTGCGAGCGTATCACCACACTACTTTAGCAGTGCATAGCTCCAGTTTCTTACAGTATGTTCTCTGACCCTCTCTCCCCTTTCTCATCTGCTTTCCACCTTCCTTTAAGGCCTCTGAGGCCCAACCAGGATGCCAGAACGAGTGTATGACTTCCAGGGCCAGAGTTTTCACAAGCTGCGGCGGGCCTGCCTCCGTCGAGGAGCGCTCTTCAAGGATCCTCTATTCCCCGCCACAGACCAGTCCCTCTTTTACAAGAGACAGCCTCCACCGGGTCTGACCTGGAAGAGGCCGAGGGTGAGTTAGACGTGGAGTGTAAAATTGAAATTCTTTTGTTTTTTAACTTGAAATACATCTCCACTCCTCCCACATCTAAACCGAGTTGCTGCCTCCACATGTTGCATTTCAGCAGATTGGGTTAATTAAAGCACTTTCTCTTAAAGGACAGGCGTCATGTCAGCTGGTGAAACCTTAGCCCTCAGGGAGCAAGTTGATGACGGACCGCTGTGTTAGTGGGATTGTGGGTGTGTACAGTTGAGTATAGAAAAAGCACAAGCCAATGTAAATAGCATGGGTGTTTTTAGCACACTGTTGTGATGGGTACAGCTGTCTAAGTATAGGTTTTTAATGTGGCCACAGAGAGCTAAGGGTGTGGTAATACACTTGAATTAAACCAGTGAAATGTTAAGGTGAATCGAGGTTGAAGGGATTGTTGTTTAGTGTGGATATTTATCAGACATTTGATGGTCCAGTAACTTTATGATTACAGAGTTTTATACCCGTCTGATGTGTCTTAATTTTCAGGACACTGATCCTCACTGTGCTCTGCTGAGGAAAATCGGTTTAATCCAAACAGTGAAACATGTGAAAGGATCAGAAAGCCCCGGGTATTTCCCATCGGGGTCATTAGTTCAAGGAGTTCATTCAAAGCCAGGCCTTTAGTGCTCTTAATGTGAAACCCTGCTGACGATTAATTTGTTGACTCAGAGCTGGAGAGAAAGGGTTAAAGGTATTGCGGTCCTAATGCACTACTCGGGTATTTTAAGCGTGTATCAACACAGATGATAAACTATCCAGTTCATAATTTCAGTGGTCTTATCTGAAGCTTGTTACGAACATGATAGCATCGTAAAGAAGGTTTATTTCTTGTCTAGTGTTACAACTGAAGAAGTTATGGCCACCCAGAGTGTATCTTTCTGCGTGTGTGTGAGTGCAGCGACACTTCTACAGTTACCTGACCCTGTCCAAAGTGAGAGCAGAAGGTCTACACACACATTATCTGTCTCCTCAGCAGTGCTTGGACACCCTGACTGAATCAGCCCGCAGGCCCCATAAAACTCTGTGACGATACGAGCTCCTGAAGTCATTAATGGCAGTGCTTGCTCCACTTAACTGTGTCGTTTAAAGCTGCTTCATGAAACAACCTGCTTTTAGAGATGAACTCACCAATAATAATGAACGCCGACCTTCCTTTAAGCTCTAGATTTAGGTTCAAGCCTCCTGCTATCATCACAGGATCTCAGATCCCAGGTGGACACAGATGCCATTCACCCCATTAGCTGTCACGTAGTGATGAACAATCCCTGTATTTCCCTAGAAATGTGCAGGTAGGAGCTCATTGACTCCTTGATGCACAAATAAGAAATGAACCTGCTGTTGCTGATAAGGTGGAAAAACTGTGGTCCAAACTTAGGATGTGAAAGTGACGACCAGAAACTGTGGTCACTTGAAGTTAGCTTCAAGCGGGAAGAAAAACTCCCTTTTAACAGGAAGAAATCTCAAGCAGAACCGGGCTCAGGGAGGGTTGGCTGTCTGCTGTGACTGGTTGGAGTGAGAGGAGGAAGACAGGGCAAAGACACACTGTGGATATACAGTCTATTGCTAAAGTGTTACTGTTATCCTGCAGTCTGCCAGGTGATGACTAACTACATCCCATATTTCTTGTCATAAGCCTGATCTCTCTTCCTCTCCAGGAGATTTGTAAGGACCCCCGTCTGTTTGTCGATGGCATCAGCACTCGTGATTTGCACCAAGGAAGTCTGGGTAACTGCTGGATGGTGGCAGCCATTTCCTGCCTGGCGTCTGAGCCATCACTGTGGAAAAAGGTTTGGTGTGTTTTTCCCCTCACCTTCTTCACAATCATCTTTCCTCTTTCTCCTTATTCTTTACTATCGTCCCTACTCTGCATTCTCTGCATTTCCTCCTGGTTCCTTCCTTGTCTTTCTTCACCCTTCCTCATCCACCTCTATCCTCTTCCTAGGTCATCCCCGATCATTTGAATCAGGAGTGGAATCCAAAGCGTCCCGACTTGTATGCAGGAATTTTCCATTTCAGGTTCTGGCGTCTCGGTCGCTGGATGGATGTTGTTGTAGATGATCGCCTGCCTGTCAGTGAGGATGGAGTGCTGCTCTTCTGTCGTTCGGCAACACCACGAGAGTTCTGGAGCGCCCTGCTGGAAAAGGCCTACGCCAAGTGAGCATCAGCAGAAAATGCTGGTTTTGATATTAGATTAGATTAGATAAAACTTTATTAATCCCTCGGGTGGGTTCCTCTGGGAAATTCAGTAGCATTGATGGGACTGCTGTTAATTTTACACTGCTGAACCTACGTCTTGACTGCCACAACCACTACTTATGGCAATCCTAATGTCTAATGATCCTGAATCAATCACTCAATCCCTCTCTCAACTTTTAGACTTAACGGCTGCTACGAGGCCTTGGAGGGAGGGAACACTGCAGAGGCCCTGATCGACTTCACTGGTGGAGTTTCAGAGCCGCTCAGTCTGGATCGTGAGGCTCTAAGACTTCACAGTGACCAGAGGAGGGCGCTCTTCCAGACTTTAACCAAGGTCCATGAATGTAAATCACTCATCACTTGCTCCATACGGGTAGGGCTTCTGAGTCTTGAACATTTAGAAAAACTGGAGAAGAAATGGGTTAAAATGATTTCACTGTTTCACGTTTCTCAGCCTGCAGAGGGGGAGACCGTGGAGTCAGTGCTGGAGTGTGGGCTCGTGCGAGGACACGCCTACGGGATCACGGCAGTGAGGAAGGTGAGGTTGGGGGAGAAGGTACTGAAGAGAGGCGGGACATCCAGACTCTTTATGGTCCGCATGAGGAACCCGTGGGGGACCACAGATTGGACCGGTGCCTGGAGTCAGAGGTGAGAGGTGACTTTGAAGTCTTTGCACTGGCTTCTGCCACATGTCAGACTGCTGAGAGCATTTTGTAGGAGCTCTGGGGGGAAAAGTCTTTGCTGACTTTAACAGTGTCGCTGTGGTTTGCAGCATTTTATAATGCCACTGCTGATATTCTGGAGAGATTCTGACATTTTACAATAGTTTGGGATTTGTTTTACTGGGGTGGAGGGACATCTGCTGTTCACATCATGAAAGTCTGAGAACTGGATCACTAAAGGTTTCTAGAAGCTGAAACACTGCTTTTATTTTTATGTCCTTTCCAAGTGTTCTGCTTTCTGTCCTTGTGTGCCCCCTGCAGGTCAGAGCAGTGGCAGCAACTGAGTCGTGCAGAGAGGGACAAGATGGGGCTCGTTGTTCGTGATGTCGGGGAGTTTTGGTACTTCTGATTTTTATTATTTGAAGAACAAAAAGTCATGTGGGTTAGCTGGTTTCTGCCTCACATTTTATTCTTTTCCTTTTCCCTCAGGATGGATTTCGAGGACTTCTGTCAACACTTTACAGACGTGGTGGTGTGCAGACTGGTGGAGAGGACTCTGCTGTGGCCGAGATCTCGCTGGAGAGAAGTGAGCTGCTACGGGGAGTGGGTTCTACCTCCCCCCACCCATGGAGCACCTCCACCCACTGTGCTCCAGAGTAACCCTACACTGACTCTGAGTAAGAGCAGCAATGGGCCTGGAGGGACCAAGCAGCGTGGGAACAGAAAGGAGGATCGACTCGGTGAGAGTCAACAGGAAGGAAGGAAAAGAGGAAGAAGCAAGCCTGATGTGAGCAAAGTGACAGCAGAAAAGGGTGGTGGGAAGGTGAATGGAGTATGGAAGGTGGAGTTGGATAAGAGGAGCCGGTGTGGTGGATGTATCAATCACAGGGACACCTTCCTGCACAATCCACAGGTAAATATAAGCTTGAAACCAGGGTTTGCATCAGCACATGAATGCTAAAAATGACTTTTCATTCTTATTAGTTCATGTTTGAGGTGCGAGCCAAAGAGGAGGAGGTGCTGATCTGTCTGCAGCAGGAGGACAGGAGGATGTGGAGGAAAAATGGAAAAGGAGAAAACCTGCCTATTGGCTTTGAGGTGTTGAAGGTGAGCCGGGCCACTGAGCAACCTCACGTTTTTTGAGTCATAAAAAAAATATTTCAGTCCTTCCTCATCATCTGCAGGTGGAGGTGAACCGCTGCAGTCGGGTGCAGTGCGTGGTGGAGCAGGCGGCCAGCTCCATCTACATGGATTCCCGGAGTGTGACACTGAGGGGAACTCTGACTCTGGGACGTTATGTTGTGCTGCCCACCACCTTCCTGCCGGGCGTCACTGGATGCTTCCTGCTTCGCCTCTTCGCCCACTCTCGTATCAGACTCAGGTGAAATGCTGGTCAGGAAAGAAGGGTTAGAAATAGCTTTGAACGTTCTGATATTTGTAGATACTGAAAAGGTACGGAGGACCAAAGCTGCCCAAAGGTTTCAAAACCAAAAAAGTTTTTTTTATTACAGTTTTATTTTTATATTTGCCACAATTTATGTTTCCAGTGTTTTGAATTCTGCGTTTAAATTTCAATTTATTCTGCAAGTGGCACTTTTACAAGTTCAGCATTTCACATACTGGATGATCCATCCATCCATCTTCATCCGCTTTATCCGAGGCCGGGTCACGGGGGCAGCAGCCTAAGCAGAGAGGCCCAGACCTCCCTCTCCCCAGCCACCTCCTCCAGCTTATCCAGGGGAACACCAAGGCATTCCCAGGCCAGCCGAGAGATATAATCTCTCCAGCGTGTCCTGGGTCTGCCCCGGGGCCTCCTCCTGGTGGGACATGCCTGGAACACCTCACCCAGGAGGCGCCCAGGAAGCATCCTTGTCAGATGCCCGAACCACCTCAGCTGGCTCCTTTCGATGTGGAGCAGCAGCGGCTCTACTCACCCTATCTCTAAGGGAGAGGCCAGCCACCCTTCGGAGGAAGCTCATTTCTGCCGCTTGTATCCGCGATCTCGTTCTTTCGGTCACTACCCACAGCTCTTGGCCATAGGTGAGGGTAGGGACGTAGATCAACCGGTAAATTGAGAGCTTCGCTTTTACACTCAGCTCCCTCTTCACCACGACGGACCGGTGCAGCGTCCGCATCACTGCAGCCACAGCCCCAATCCGTCTGTCGATCTCCGGCTCCCTTCTCCCATCACTCGCGAACAAGACCCTGAGATACTTGAACTCCTCCACTTGGGGCAGGAACTTATCCCCGACCCGGAGTGGGCACTCCACCCTTTTCCGGCTGAGAACCATGGCCTCAGATTTGGATGTGCTGATCCTCATTCCTGCTGCTTCACACTCAGCTGCGAACCGTTCCAGTGCGAGCTGGAGGCCCTCACCCGATGAAGCCAACAGAACCACATCATCCGCTAAAAGCAGAGATGAGATTCTGAGGCCACCAAAGTGAAAGCCCAGTGTCCAGTATTCTGCGACCAGGACGAAAACCGCATTGTTCCTCCTGTATCCGAGGTTCGACTAGCGGACGAACTCTCCTTTCCAGCACCCTGGCATAGACTTTCCCAGGGAGGCTGAGGAGTGTGATCCCCCTGTAGTTGGAACACACCCTCCGGTCCCCCTTCTTAAAGATGGGGACCACCACCCCGGTCTGCCAGTCCAGGGGTACTGCCCCTGATCTCCACACAACATTGTAGAGGCGTGTCAACCAGGACAGCCCAACAACATCCAAAGCCTTCAGGAACTCGGGGCGGACCTCATCAACACCAGGGGCTCTGCCACCAAGGAGTTGTTTAACTGCCTCAGTGACCTCGCCCCCGGAAATTGGCGGGTCATTCCCCTCATCCCCAGACTCTGCTTCCTCCTCAGAAGACATGTCAGTGGGATTAAGGAGGTCCTCGAAGTATTCCTTCCATCGCCTGACAATTTCCTCAGTCGACGTCAGCAGCGCTCCGCCAGCACTATACACAGTGCAGGTAGAGCACCGCTTTCCCTCCTGAGACGCCTGACGGTTTGCCAGAATCTCTTCGAGGCAGTCCGAAAGTCTTTTTCCATGGACTCTCCGAACTCCTCCCACACCGGAGTTTTTCCTTCAGCCACTGCCCGAGCTGCATTCCGCTTGGCCTGTCCATACCTGTCGGCTGCCTCCGGAGTCCCACAGGCTAACCAAGCCCGATAGGACTCCTTCTTCAGCCTGGTGGCTCCCTTCACCTCTGGTGTCCACCATTTGGTTCGGGGATTACCACCACGGCAGGCACCAACCACCTTGCGGCCGCAGCTCAATGCAGCAGCTTCGGCAATGGAGACGCTGAACATGGTCCATTCGGACTCAATGCACACCCTCACTACGCGTTTAGATGCACCAGGTCTGTCCAGCGTCCTCCCCCGCCACCTGATCCAACTCACCACCAGGTGGTGATCAGTTGACAGCTCAGCCCCTCTCTTTACCCGAGTGTCCAGAACATATGGTCGCAGGTCTGGTGATACGATTACAAAATTGATCATTGACCTACGGCCTAGAGCGTCCTGGTGCCACGTGCACTTATGGACACTCTTATGTTCGAACAGGGTGTTCGTTATGGCCAAACTGTGATTAGCACAGAAGTCCAATAACAAAGCACCGCTCGGGTTCAGATCAGGGAGGCCGTTCCTCCCAATCACGCCCCTCCAGGTCTCGCTGTCATTACCCACGTGAGCATTGAAGTCTCCCAGCAGGACAACAGAGTCACCTTCCAGCACCACCCCCCCCCCCCCCCCCCCCCCCGGTTCCAGAGCTCAAGCCATGCGTAGAGGTGAGCCCAACTATATCTAGCCGGTACCTCTCAACCTCACGCACTAACTCAGGAACTCAGGCTCCTTCCCCACCAGAGAGGTGACATTCCATGTCCCTATTGCCAGTCTTGGCAGCCGGGGGTCAGTCCGCCAGGGCCTCCTCTCCTGGCCGCCACCCGGCACACAATGCACCCAACCCCTATGGCGCCTCCTGTGGGTGGTGGGCCTGCGGGAGGATGGGCCCATGTCTCCTCTTCGGGCTGTGCCCGGCTGGGCCCCATGGACTAAGGCCCAGCCACCAGCCACTCGCCCTCGGGCACCCTCCCCGGGCCTGGCTCCAGGGCGGGGCCCCGGTAACCCTATCCCGGGCAGGGTAAACTGTTCCCTTGATGTTCTCTTCATAAGAGTCTTCTGAATCGCTCTTTGTCTGGTCCCTCACCCAGGACCAATTTGCCATGGGAGACCCTACCAGGGGGCAAAAGCCCCCAGACAACATAGCCCCTGGGATCCCTGGGACACACAAACCTCTCCACCACGATAAGGTAGCAATTCACGGAGAGGGTGGGATGATTGATCCCAGTAAAAACAGATATTGTTGCTTTTACTCAGGAGATCTTTACAGATGTTCAACTAATTTACATGAAAATTTTAAAATTACTAAAAATAAAATAAAAAATCAAATAGTTAATAATCAGGTGAATAAATACAAAATTAAATAATACAGGAAAGATTTAGGAAGTAACAGAAAAATAAATGTAAATGACATTTTTTAAATTAAGTAATGGAACAGTTTTAATATTTATTTACTCATAAAGTATATTTATTTATTTATTAATTATTTTTGTATTTATAATTCAAAAAATTTTCATTTTGGTGGTTTTGTCCTTCCGCGGAACAGAGAAAAAAAAACAAAACCAAACAAACAGTAAATATGACATAGACATTTTTTTTGATAAATTATAAAAATCAATATGAAACCACTATTAGCATCATAAATTTTATATTATTTCTTACATTTAATTTTTTCCACTTTAACAGAAAAAATCTCTTTTTCCCTTCACTATTCCCAGTCCTCTGCATTTAATTTAGTTATTTCTTTTTTCCATGAAGGGAACTGAGGGAGGACTTACCGTCTCCCTCTGTGCTCCACTGTTTTCTACCTCAGCCCACAGTGGTAACCACAGTTTATCTACACAGGGGGTCAGGACTCAACCCTCCCAAACAAACAGGTAACTGCAAAATGAAAGACTCATATTTGGGCAGACTCTTAATTATTGCACATATCTCCCTTGGTGTTTTCTTTCTTTCTTTCTTTACACCGTGCTGGATTTTGTTCCACAGCCCCCGATGTTTACGCTGTAGTGAGATGTGAGAATGACAACGTCAGGACGCGGGTGTTCAAGGAGAGCAGAAACCCTGAATTCAACCTGAGAACCATCTTCTACAGGAGATACCCCAACACAGACATCTCTGTTGAGGTTTGGCACATTCCTGTTCCCTCTCACGCAGCACACAAACACACAGGGCTAATGGGTTTCCTGTGTATTGACAGATATACAGCAGAGGTCTGCTGTGGGACTCGCTTCTCGGTGAGACTCGACTCCAGACGGCCGAGTCTGAGAGGAGTCGAAGCCTCGTGATGAATCTGCGAGGCAGACGGTCTCGTTCAGGGCTCAGAGGTTGCGTCTATCTTGAGACGTCTTCCAGCGTGTGCCTCACAGACTTGTGACAGTCTGGCTGCCCTGGCAAACACTGCCCTCTCAGGTAGAAGCTGATGAGCAAATAAAGGTGCTGTAGGTTTTTGGGGTTTTTGACCTGTTGTATTTTAAACCACAGTGAGCTGCTTGGTCTCTTGCACTTTGCTGTGGGACTTTAATAATTAGGTTATTAATGTACTGACAGATGCTCTGTGGTGATCTACTGCTCAGTTATGCAGGCACAAACACAGCAGTTCAACAAGAACAGTGGGACTGCTGCCAAAACCAGTTTGTGTTATTTTAAAATATGCATTGTTATGTGTTGTATTTTTATTGATTTGTTATTTATTTTTTGTTTTATTCATTAAAATGGTGATGTTTGGCTCACATTTGCATTTCTCATAATTAAACTATAAACACTGTGTAAGCCTGTTTTATTTTATCATCACTCAGCAGACCTACTTGCCTTAAGTCATTGAAATGTCAGTCAGCTAAGAGCCATAATCTCTCCAGCATGTCCTGTCTCTTTGCCGGCATCTCCTTGTAGTTCTTTGCATCTTCTTTTTAAAGAATAAACCTATAAAATTTAAATCAAAGTTTTAACAGCACTGCGCTCCTTTCTTTGTCAGTACATAGTACAGGATGAGTGCGTGTAATTAAATAAATGGTGACATCACTGGGAGCCATAAGGGTGAGTCATTTTTAACAGCACTTTTTTCTCATTGGACTCAAGTCTGTCTTGTAGCATTTGTCACAGTTCTGGGTCATTTGGACCCAGCATTTTGAGTTTCTTGTATTTTGGTATTGTTTTCCTGTGCTTTCCTCCTGTCTCCACTTCCCAAATCACTCCGCTGTGTATTTTAGTCCTTTGTCATTCATTGCTTGCTATCGCGTCATACACAATGTCTCCATGCTGTGTTCTCCCTTTGTGTCCTGAGCATTGCCTGGCTCGAGTTTCTTAGTTTCTAGGGTCCAGTGCCCAGTTTAGTTTTTAGTTCTGCATTTGAGGTTTTGGTTTGTTCTTGTAATGTTAATTCCTACAAAGAGTTTTTGCAGCAATAAAAGCTGAGCTTTGAGTTTTACTTTCTGTTTCTGAGTTCTGCATTTGGGTCCTTCATCCTGCCCGCCACAGCCCACACCAGGGACTTCTTCAGAACAGACGGCTGTGGTGAGTAGAACAGAATTTTTCCTTACCCCTCCAAAATGTATAACAATTAAGACCGTGACTGAGGACCTCACCTCACAAGACCTAAAAGCTGTTTCTCTCTGCCCAAGGAACAAGAAATCTGATTTTGTTTCTGATTTTGAAAAACCTGAGATTTCTGTTTGTGCCAGTCAGTTGGAGAACGTTTGCTACACTGCACAAGGGGCAAAATCACAAACTAACAAGCTAACATTGAGTCTGAACCAATATTCTTTCACTAAATCTGTAAATTTTAAGTCAGTATATTCTGAGGTAGAGTTATCTGTTTCTGAGCCTGTTAACCTTGAGTCTGTAAATCCTCAGTGAACTAAAGGTAATTGTTTTACTGCTAAGATAACTGCAGAAGCGTTAACAACTGGTTCTTCTGTCTGAGACAGACAGAAGTCCCCATTCACAGGACTTTACTGACTGTTTCAATGTTGCTCCTGCCAAGCCCAGAGTTCTAATGACCAGGAATGTTAACTCTAAGACTGTGAATGTAAAGGGCTATTTTTCAATTGCTCATTCTCAGCAGAGAAACAAATTACAAAGAGCATTTCTGTGTCCCAAGAAGGAGGAGACTGTCACTCTCTCCAGGGCTTCCCCAGAGGCTGAGTTTCAGACCTCAGCAGCCTCTGGGAGCCTGGAGGATATGGAGCTAGTACAGTTGGTTCAGCTACCACCATCATCGACTGAGAGCTCAGCTGAACTCTCTCAGCCTCCTTCAGCTGTGTCACCTGAAAGCTCTACCAGGCCATTTCAGCTGTCTGCAGCAGCTTCCACAGAGAGCTCAGGCGAGCTCACCCAGCCTGCAATAAACTTTGTCTCGCTGCAGTGCTATGGCTAAGTGTCCAGAGCTGGCTGGGTGTTCCACGTAGCCTCAGCTAGCTTTGTCTCAGCCAGGGGCCTCCATACCTGCTGGCCCTGTGTCTGTTTCCCACTGGGGGCTCTGGTGACCCGCTCCAGCACTCAGTGGCTTGCATGCCACCGTCTGTTTCCGCTGGAGGATCTGAGGGGTCACACCAGCTGTCTGTCTCAACTAGTCGCCTCCACTGTTTTGCGGTCGGCCTCCTGAGATCCTCTGTCACTGTTGGCTCAATGGGCTTACTCCTGAACTGTTTTCCAGGCTCCTGGGCTGTCAACCTTCTGGGTCAGCCACCCAAATTGGGTTGTTTGGGACACTGTTTTTGGACTTTTTTGTTTTGACTTTTGGTGCTCCTGTTTTGTTTTGCCCGTGTACGGTGCGACAGTGAATGACAATGTCTCTGTGCTGTGTATTCTCCCTCCGTGTCCTGAGCATTGGTTGGCTTGAGTCTTTTAGTTTCTAGGTTCCAGTTCCCAGTTTAGGTTTTAGTTCTGCATTTGAGGTTTTTGTAATGTTTATTCCTACGAAGAGTTTTTATAGCAATAAAGGCTGAGCTTTGAGTTTTACTTTACTTTGAGTCCTGGATTTGGGTCCTTCACCCTGCCTGCCTCACAGCACTCACCAAAACCAATTACAGTGCTCACAAAAACCAATGAACAGATACACATTTTGCTGGTATTTGAAGAGCCCCAATCTGTTTAAATGCAAACAAGAAACTTTTTAAAAGGAACAGACAGCCCATTTAGCTTTTATCTGCTCTCATTTGACAGCATTTGATTATCAGGTGTGTGGACAGCTGCTATGTGTGAGCTCCTGCTGTCAGAAGTGAAGGACCACAAACTACCATGACCATTGTTTCAGCCTTATTTGCATTTTATTTCACTTTGACCGATTTGTTTTAGGTAGCTTTTGGTCAGTCGTTCTTTCTTTCTCAAACATTTTACATCTTTTTAACATATACATGGAAATTACAAAATAACTGAATATTAGAAATGTATCTCTGAAAACAGCCAACAGGAATAAAATATTCAAAATATATATATATATATATATATATATATATTATATATATATATATATATATATATATATATATATATATATTTTTTTTTTTTTTTTTTTTTTTTTTAGGTGGGTGTTATAAAAAAAACACATACTAGTCTAAAATTGCATTAAGTAACTGTTTTTCAGACTGGTGTATTTAAGTATTTATATCTTTCAAATTCATAAATTCAATACTTTTTTCACTCAAACTAAGTTTCAACAAAAAGTTTGTAGTAAAAGTAAAAGTTCTTGAATATTTAGGACTCATTATTGGGTTATATTTGTAAATTAGTTCATGAGTAGGCCTACGTTACTTTTAATTTACACATTAATCATACACATTTATTTGTACAGTAGTGTATTTTGAGCAGTGCAACATCAACAGCAATCAACTCACAGCATACTTTCCTTCACAGTGAAAACTGCCCCCTTGTGGTGACACCCTGAATACTGCATCTCCTTTAAACAACAATAACAAATAATGCGGTCCAACATATTTACAACTCAGTACACACGATAAATATCTCAACACCCCGTCTTGTACTCAGGTTGCTGGAATCTAAAGAATATTGTCCTGTAAACTACCATACAGATGTGGACTCACCAAAACATGATGTCTGCAAACTTTCCAAGTTTTAGCTCAGACACAGGTTTGGTCATAACATCTGCAACCATTTCTTCAGTAGTGCAATATAACAGGCACATTTTCGTCCATTTACAATGGGCCTTACAAAATGATATTTAATGTCCACATCTTTGCACCTCTGATGATTCACAGGTTTTTAGCTATCTATACCTTTCAAAAGCTGCCCTAAATATATAAACTCTTGTATTGCAGAAGCCAGAGCCATATATTCTGCTTCACAGGTAGAGAGCGCCACAGTGGGCTGTTTCTTTGTCTTCCATGAAACTAGAGAACTGTTCTTACATAGGTTCACACAGCATTACTGTAGGCTACTAGACCTAAATTTTCATTGTTTCTCCTAAAACACAACTTCTTATCCTTGGACCGTCTGAGATATCTTAATACATGCTTCACAGTTACCCATTGTTCCTTTGTTGGTTCATGGAAATGTTGTGATAACTTGCTTGCCACAAAACTTAGGTCTGGACTGCCTACAGCAGGGGTGGGCAATTCCAGCCTCTACTGGCTGCTCAAGATTGCTTTGCACACCTTCAGTTGGACTTCCAACTCAATTCTTTATCTTCTTCTGCAGGTGAGAAAAATGGAGAGCAGTAACCTTCTGGGACGCATCCGGAACCGTCCAAAACCCCCAGCAACCGCTCTAGGTAAAATCTAGCGATTTTAACATCATGAACACTGGTGTCATAGCTTCATTTCTGTAAATATCATTTGAAGAAACTGAGTTCAGTGTTTGATTTTTTTGCAGCGATCTTTAGCGCGATATTTTGCATCATGCCCATTGCTCAGATTGCAATTGGTGAGCTCCATACTTACTTACTTGAATGAGTGTTCAAAGGTGTTGAAGTTTTCCAGGCAGCTCTGATTGTACTTTTTGAGTCATCCTCCTTGTGTCCACCAGGGGCAATATACCTTCATGAGTGTCCGCGCCAGCACTACATCCCCATCTATCTGATAGTGTTAGGACTCTCAAGCCTGTTGTTCGTGTTGCTCTCCTGCTTTCCCTGTGCCAAAGAGCCAGAAGAAGGCACCTCCAACCCTCTGAGCGCAATCTACAAAGCCTGGAACTCACTGGCAATGTTCTTTGTCTTCTGCTGGTTTATCGCTGGTGAGTTAAAAAGTCAAGGAAGTGACCTGTTTCGGGTTGGCTGCCTGTTAAAATTGTGTAAATACAGTCGTGGACATCAGACAAACGACCTGCATAAATTCACACCGAAGAGATTAAACATTAGCTCTCAGCACCACAAACAGAACAGGACTCCTCCTAGGCAATGTTTACAGTGCGCAGTGTGTTTCTATTATAGACCACATTCGTTTCAGCTGCATGAAGCTCTAAAAGGCCACAAAAAATATGATACTGTGTAAAGTGCTGTCCCTCCTTCATGTGAATCAGATTCATCATAGCAGACATTGAGTCTTATGTACCCAGGGTGCAGGATTCCCTGTCTAATCATTAAAACTTGTGGCTCATTAATACATATTAATAGCACAGCGTGAAAGAAGCTAGCCACAACAAAAACAAGGATGTAAATTAGGACTGTAGTCTTTAGGGTTGAGTGTCTGATTGATCAATATGCTCTCTATTTTCATTAGTCAGAAGATCAATAGTCATTGTTCTTGGCAGAGGGAAGAGCAGATCACAATCTGTATATGAATGATGGATGTAGCTTCCAGTTCTTAAAAGTTTAGTCAAAGCAGAAGTGCCTTAAATCTGCATGTGACTACTGTGACGTGACTGCTCTGGTTCTAAAAATAAATAAGGTTGTGCAAAAGTCTCTGAGAAAATGCTCCTCAGCTTCCTCATTGTCTCACACTTCCCAATGGCATTGTCGCCCTCTAGTACTAGTATTGCCTGGGTAGGGCCATCCAAACGCCTCACAAGAAGGGATAAAGGAAGGAAGGACAAAAAGAAAAATTTAGTAAAGTTACATTAGAAAGCGATGGTGGTGTAGGACATAGATTAATTAATGGTTAAAGTAATCTAGAAGGTCTAATAAGATCAAGACAAGACATTATTTTAAAAAAGGTTATGAGTTAAGAATGTTAAAGGTGATCACAGTAGATAAACCTTAACTCATTAAAGACTTAAATCTATCCATATGCTCTCAGTGTTTGCTGCTTTCTGTCAGAGCCAAAAAGTGCAGAAAATGTCTCAGCTCAAGTTTTGAATCATCTCATTTTGGTCACGACTCTTTTGCTAGCTAACATCACCAGCAGTAGCTGACTGTATCTGTCTTAATTGTGGCTTTTGTGGTAGTGCAGTTATTTAGGTCATGCAGTACAGTGCATTTGAGTCATGATAGAGTAGGTGAGGTAAACTTGATTGTGGATAAAATAGCAAATTTCTTGCTAATTAAATATTCCCCAAAATAGCTGTTTATCATCAAACTTGAATCCATCAATTAAATACACTTATCTTATCATTATCAGGCTCCAGACCCTTTTTATCCAGATTACACCTTGTCAACAACTGTGCCCATGAGCATAAAAGTATACCGGGGTGAGAATTAATACATGTTGTAACATTAAATTAAATTTAAAAAAAATTTTTTTCATAGGTGATGTATGGATCTACTCTATTTATCAGCCCAACTATGACAAAAACACAACAAACGTGGACCCCTACTGCAACAAGACCCTTTACCTGTTTGCCTTCTGGATAAACACTTTGGTTAATATCTCAGTTGGGGTTTTTTTCCTGGGCGTCTTCTTGTTCCTCCTCGGCTTCTGCCTGTATAGGGGTGCCAATCCTCCCGCCGACGTGTAATGACTTTTGGAAATGATAAGGGGACTGGACGCACTCAATGAATATGCTGCCAAGGCAAATATGTTGGAAATGGGATCCAAAAAATGGCAGGATAAGTGTGTGATGTGTCCGTGCATCTTGTGTTGAAAGATGAGCATTTTCTATACCTCTGCAGCAGCTACTGTTTACAGGAATTTAATTATGCAATCAAGAAGATCACTGATGTTTAAGAATTTGTACGAGAGCTGATTCCAATAGCAAAAATATGTTTTACTTTCTTATTTGTTTCCATATTTGTCCCAGGAAAACACACAGGTCTACATTATAAATGTGAGCAAGGTTTTTCTCACAAGTATTTCAGCTTATCATTAAACTCTTTTAGTGACATTACGGATAAATCTCAGCCACTGACATCGTTTACTGGCATCTTATTTGCCAATAAAAACCCAGCATCGGTCAGTGTCAGTAATTAGCTGATATATCTGTGAATCTGTAGATGTGCTGTTACATGCTGAGCCACAAATTGGCATTATTGAGTGTAAATGATGAAATTAAAAAGTCACTTTGGTTATGGTATCATTTATGAAATAAATAAATAAGAAATAAATCATGTGTAATGCGGTTTTTCATAATTATAATTCTGTAAAGTGTAGGTTTGTTTTCTGTGGAAACCAACACTTTTTTGTATTTCACTGTTCAAAATGTAATCACATCATTAAACTCTGTCAGAGGTTTATCGCTGCAAGGATGGATCATGAATCGTGAGATTTGTAATAAAAGTCATGCTGTATTTTGTCATGTTAGGAATAAAAATGAAAGAGAGGAAAGCTTTTATGCGCCGGCTGTGTAGCAACAGGAAATAGTTTCATCTGAAAAGAAGAAATTCTGCACCTATGTAGAATATATATATACTGGAAGTGCTGGGTATACAAGTCTGGCCTAAGTCTTCCGTCAGAAAGACTGCAGCAGTCCAGGAGTTTAGTTCACCGTCTTTAATGAAGCTTCACAGAAGATATGCACTTATAATTGTGGCAGGTGCAGTATCGGTGACTATAAGCATGGTTGTCTGGAAACAGAAACAGGTAACACTATAGTTAGCAGGCTCAAAGACAACCAAACAACAATCAGAACACATCATCTACTCAGACACAGCAATATTTTACAATGTCCACAAGGGGTCGCCGTAAGACCAGAAGTTGGCTAAATAGCACATATCTTCCCAGTTGCTAGTACTAAGGCAAGCATGTGGCAAGCTAACAACAGCTAAACTAAACAATAAACAACAGAAAAATCCTTTAACCGCGGGATATAATCATTGGGGGAGATTCTGGCCACTGGTATTAACTTAGTGCTAGTTAATTAAATAATTAAATAAACCTACTAACGTGGTAGCAGTGTACTGAGGCATAACTTTAGCTTAAACATACACAAACAACTATAACTATTATCATACCAGTTAACCTGTCAAAGGCAATAACACTTACAGTCTCATTAACGCACACGGAATCACACAAACTGCGATACAACTGCCATGCTCTGCTGCTGCTTTTCGTCCCTCACTCTCCCTCTGCGTGATGCGCACATGATCACTGGTACGCTCATTTGGGTGCGCTTGGTTCTTGCCTCTAGACATCCTGAGGCCGAGTCAGCAGGGAATTTGCACAACCTACATGCTAAATGATAGTCTGTGCAAGAAAGCATTAGACCGAAGCGCACAATGGATAATACGGTTATTTTCAGTGTATCTGATCTTTAAAATTTGTAATTGGATACTGTCCCAGTACTGAAGCTTACTTTTTTTAAAATATCTGTTTCTGTGAAAGACGACAATGGTTAAGGATTAAAGTGTACACCTCTATAACCAACTCTGTTTAATTATTAGTTGTTAATAATCTCTGGCTTGGCTTGCTTCCACAGCGTGTCTTTTTCCTGTCTTTCTTCCCTAACCCCAACCGAAAGATGGGAAACCACTGAATAAGAATCGGTGTTACAAAAAAGACACAGTGGAGACTCATGATTTCATCCAGGAAACACCAAGAACCTTAGAGGCTTGCAAAGCGTATGGCTGGGAAGGCCAGTTTTAGTCATGTATTTATGAGTGGGGGCTCAGTGCAGATAAGAAAACTAATATTTAGGTTTTCAGAAAATAAAAACAGTTGAACAACAGAGAAATCTGTGATAGACTTGAAATCCTCTACAAGGATCCTCCATTCCCCAGTACAGACCAGTCCCTCTTTTACAAGAGACAGCCTCCACCAGGTCTGTCCTGGCAGAGGCCGAGGGTGAGTTAGACGTGGAGTGTAAAATATAAATTTTTTTGTTTTTTAACTTGAAATACATCTCCTCCGTGAATCGCTACCTTATCGTGGTGGAGGGGTTTGTGTGTCCCAGGGATCCCAGGGGCTATGTTGTCCCGGGACTTCTGGTAGGGTCTCACATGGCAAATTGGTCCTGGGTGAGGGACCAGACAAAGAGCGATTCAGAAGACCCCTATGAGAAGACCATCGAGGGAACAGTTCACTCTGCCCAGGATAGGGTTACCGGGGCCCTGCCTCGAACGGTTTGCAGCCGAGTGTGGGAATGAGAATCAGCAATTCCAAATCTGAGGCCATGGTCCTCAGCCAGAAAAGGGTGGAGTGCCCACTCTGGGTCATGGACAAGTTCCTGCCTCAAGTGGAGGAGCTCACGTATCTCGGGGTCTTATTCACGAGTGACGGGAGAGAAAGCGGGAGATCGACAGATGGGTTGGTGCTGCTGCTGCAATGATGCGGATGCTGCACTGGTCTGTTGTGTTGAAGAGATTGGTGAGTGTAAAAGCAAAGCTATCAATTTAGATGGATGGATAGATACATCTTCTCACCTCCCACATATAAACTGAGTTGCTGCCTCCACATGCTGCATTTCAGCAGATTGGGTTAATTAAAGCACTTTTTATTAAAGGACAGGCGTCATGTCAGCTGGTGAAACCTTAGCCCTCAGGGAGGAAGTTGATGATGGACTGCTATATTGGTGGGATTGTGGGTGTGTGTGTACAATTGAACATAGAAAAAGCACAAGCCAACGTAAACAGACAGCTGTACCCATCACAACAGTGGGCTAAGGATAGGTTTTTATAGCGTCCACAGAGAGCTAAGGGTGTAGTAATACACTTGAATTAAACCAGTGAAATGTTAAGTTGAATCAAGGTTGAAAGGATTGTTGTTTAGTGTGGATATTGGTAAATGGCCTGCATTTGTATAGCACTTTTCTAGTCCCTAAGGACCCCAAAGCGCTTTACATATCCAGTCATCCACCCATTCACGCACACATTCACACACTGGTGATGGCAAGCTACATTGTAGTCACAGCCACCCTGGGGCGCACTGACAGAGGCGAGGCTGCCGGACACTGGCGCCACCGGGCCCTCTGACCACCACCAGTAGGCAACGGGTGAGGTGTCTTGCCCAAGGACACAACGACCGAGGCTGTCCAAGTCAGGGCTCGAACCGGCAACCTTCCGATTACAAGGCAAACACCCAACTCTTGAGCCACGATCGCCCCGTATTAATGGTATTGCGTTCCTAATGCACTACTCAGGTATTTTAAGCGCGTATCAACACAGATGATAAGGTGTCACCTGTCGCTTCACCCTGCTGGCACACACACACACACACACACACACCCTAACTTCCCATTTGCTATCAAAACTATCCAGTTTATAATCTCTATGATCTCACCAGAAGCTTGTTACAAACACGATAGCATCATAAAAAAGGTTTATTTCTTGTCTAGAAAAACAGAAATAGGAAAAAACTGATTTCCAAAAGCACAAGGAAAGTATTTCTGGGGAGACAATAACCCGATGGACCAGTTGCAGGAACCCAAAACATGGTAGGTGTGTTTTATCGTGATTCATATAATACTGATGACGGATTTTTAGGCTAATAGTTAGGCTAACACACTTACCTCTCATGTTTTCTTTCCTCACAAAAGCGATCGATCCTCCACTTCTCTCAAGTGTCTCCCAGCACAATTTTGGCATATTTTGGTTCCTGCAACTGGTACATTGGTTATTGTCTCCCCAGAAACACTTCCCTTGTGCTTTTGGAAATCTGTTTTTTCCTATTTCTGTTTTGTTGTTTCCTATTTCAGTTGTTGTTTTTCCTATTTCCATTGTGTTTTGTGTGCTTTTGCAGCATTTTTTTTTTTGCTGGTGTTTTCTTTTCTGTTTGGCCACTCAGGGCCACGGTAAATGGTAAATGGCCTGCATTTGTATAGCACTTTTCTAGTCCCTAAGGACCCCAAAGCGCTTCACACTACATTCAGTCATTCACCCATTCACACACACATTCACACCAGAGATGGGCAGTAACACGTTACTTGTAACGCGTTACTGTAATCCGATTACTTTTTTCAAGTAACGAGTACAGTAAGGGATTACTATTGCAAAAACGGTAATTAGATTACCATTACTTTCCCGTAGGAATGCTGCATTACTGCGTTACTAAAACCGTGATTTTTTTGCGAGAATGTCTCATGACAGTGACGTAAGCGAGTGTGACGACAACAGCTGTGTGCAGATCAACAATGGATAATGGAGAGAGTATGAGCGGGCAGCGTTTAAAGCGTGGAAGTATTGACCTTACTTTGAGTTTGATTCCATAAAAAGTGACAAAAACATTAGCGTCCATCATGCGTGGGAAGAAAACTTCTTTTTACAGCGAAAAAAACCCTAAACTTCTGAGCAAGCACCGAGTGCGCTACGACGTAATGGGAAACTCAGAGAAACTCGCGGATTCTTCCACTGATCGCTGCGGCACACCTGCACCAGGGTAAACCTCCGCCTGCCCCACTCCTGCTTTACAGGTGAAAATAGAGCAACAGGACCTCTAGTCTTTGACTTTATTTATTTTCTGCTGTGTTTTACTGGCATCTATTTGAAAGACTGAGTGAAAACACAAAAAATATTTTATTTTATGTGCTGGAATGTGCAGAAAATAGGTTTAAATGTTAAACTAATTTATTCAAGTCAGAGAATGTTGCATATAATTAAATTTTTGCTTGATGCATAAAGTTAAAAGATTAAAACTAATAAAAAGAGATTTTTCCATTTGATTACATTTTGTATGATGGATTATGCAGAAAAAGTAGAATTGGGCTGAAAGATCTATCGCTTTATCACCTATTCAGGTTGTAAATCGTGTTTTTAAAAAGTAACTAAGTAACTAAGTAATTAATTACTTTTGAAAATAAGTAACCAGTAAAGTAACGGGATTACTTTTTTGGGGAAGTAATCAGTAATTAGTTACTGATTACTTTTTTCAAGTAACTTGACCAACACTGATTCACACACTGTCGATGGCAAGCTACATTGTAGCCACAGGTGCCCTGGGACGCACTGACAGAGGCGAGGCTGCCGGACACAGGCGCCACCGGGCTACGCAGGGGCACGGTAGGGGCAATCACTTTGTGGCAGACCAATGTCATTGTTGCAGACGATCACTTTTTGGCGCAACACCTGGCGCTAGGGGGCAAAACAATCACATGAGGCTGCTGTTTGACTGAGGAAGAATAAAGCAGTCGTGGTAAGCCAATCACACGACCACTTCAAGATCACAAAGCATCAATGTAATATATACTAGTTTTTAAATTGTGTTGATAGGCCACATAAAACCAGAGTTGATAAACAATATATACACGGTATTTTTTCCTGAATACTTTCATCATGTTTAATGTCTAAGGACAGCATTAGCAAGCACTCTCTGCTTATGACCTTGTGTCAGACCTGCAGGTATCAGGCTGTGATGTTCTCCTTTATAGTGGACAGAAAATATTTTTTGGAGTGGCACAAATAATTTGTGTGGCATCTTATTTAATAGAGAACACCTGACTGTTATGTAAATAGCTTGAAATGGCTATTAAAAAAAGGTGAAAAGTAAATGGCTGCAAATAACTTTGTTGTTTGCAAAACTTGTGCATAGGATTTTAAAATTTACAATTTATATTTACATTCAAAGTTATGAAATTGTCAGGGCTCTGTGTGCGGGCAGGTGGAGATGTGGATCCAAATGCAGGACTCGGAAACAGAATGCACCTCAAAAAACCTCAGCTTTATTGCTGGACACACTGACATAAGACATAATCTTTCAAAATAAAACAGGAAACAATAAACAAAGACGCAGACTAAGAAACATGGACTTTACACGGGCAGAATTAGACTTAAACCAGAATAAGCTGGAACATACTAAACATCATCATCATCATCATCATAGCCTGACAATAGATCAAGAAAATAACCAAAAATACAAAATCAAACCAAAACATGAGAACTCAAAATGCTGGGTCAGAACTGACCCAGAACCGTGACAGAAATATGATTCATTAAACACGTTCGTGGTTGTTACAGTAAAAGAATATAACTTTTTCTACTCAAAGTTTGGGGGTTTTTTTGTCTGATTTCAGATCAGTTGTGCTAATACAGTATGTCAAAATGAAAACATAACTGTAAATTCAGACATGTGAGGCTGTGCTGAAAAGAATGATACCAAACATGGCAAAGTAAATAGTTTTTAAAGGTGAAATGTAGAGGTAAAATTGAAAGTAGTCAAAAACAGCCAATTATACCCTAATTTTTTTTTTTAAAGTAACGCAATTGTTACTTTTCTTAGTAATTAATTACTTTTAGAATTTTGTAACTCAGGTACTAACTCAGTTACTGTTTTGAAGAAGTAATTAGTAACTATAATTAATTACTTTTTCAAAGTAACTTGCCCAACACTGATTATTAGTTAGCTGGGTACCCAGACAGGTTGCCAGGCTTCTGTTTTGTTTCAACTGTGCACCCCTTTGACTGTGTTTGTGGTGATTGTGCCTTTTTTAATGTGATTGTGTGGCATAAACTTTGATTGCTGTGAGGTGTAAAGTCCATCCAGTTTTTGGTGAGTGAAACCTTTGTATTTTGTTTTAGCAAGTATCTCAGTCTGTGTGAGGCACGCATATTATCACTAAATCCTATGTTTAAACATGTAGTTTCAATGCGATTGTGACCTGTGTAGAAATAAAAAAAAAACAGACAAAGATTTACATAATAAAAGGACGTATCATACATTATACATGCAAATTAAGAAAAATGTGCAAGAGTAATCAGAATCAGAGAAATCAGGGGATGCAGGTTTTTTGCTAGTGTGTTCCATTTATAAGCAGCAAAGTCCAAATGCTGGTTTTGGTATTCGATGGGACTGTTGTTAATTTTATGCAGGCTGCTGAACCTACATCTTGACTGCCACAACCACTACTTATGGCAGTCCTAATATGTAATGTTCGTGAATCAATCACTCAATCCCTCTCTCAACTTTTAGACTTAACGGCTGCTACGAGGCCTTGGAGGGAGGGAACACTGCAGAGGCCCTGATCGACTTCACTGGTGGAGTTTCAGAGCCGCTCAGTCTGAATCATGAGGCTCTAAGACTTCACAGTGACCAGAGGAGGGCGCTCTGCCAGACTTTAACCAAGGTCCATGAATACAAATCCCTCATCACTTGCTCCATACGGGTAGGGCTTCTGAGTCTTGAACATTTTAAAAACTGTTAAACAGATTGGTTAAAAAGATTTTACACGTTTCTCAGCCTGCAGAGGGGGAGACCGTGGAGTCAGTGCTGGAGTGTGGGCTCGTGCGAGGACACGCCTACGGGATCACGGCAGTGAGGAAGGTGAGGTTGGGGGAGAAGGTACTGAAGAGAGGCGGGACATCCAGACTCTTTATGGTCCGCATGAGGAACCCGTGGGGGACCACAGATTGGACCGGTGCCTGGAGTCAGAGGTGAGAGGTGACTTTGAAGTCTTTGCACTGGCTTCTGCCACATGTCAGACTGCTGAGAGCATCTTGTAGGAGCTCTGGGGGGAAAAGTCTTTGCTGACTTTAACAGTGTCGCTGTGGTTTGCAGCATTTTATAATGCCACTGCTGATATTCTGGAGAGATTCTGACATTTTACAATAGTTTGGGATTTGTTTTACTGGGGTGGAGGGACATCTGCTGTTCACATCATGGAAGTCTGAGAACTGGATCACTAAAGGTTTCTAGAAGCTGAAACACTGCTTTTATTTTTATGTCCTTTCCAAGTGTTCTGCTTTCTGTCCTTGTGTGCCCCCTGCAGGTCAGAGCAGTGGCAGCAACTGAGTCGTGCAGAGAGGGACAAGATGGGGCTCGTTGTTCGTGCTGTCGGGGAGTTTTGGTACTTCTGATTTTTATTATTTGAAGAACAAAAAGTCATGTGGGTTAGCTGGTTTCTGCCTCACATTTTATTCTTTTCCTTTTCCCTCAGGATGGATTTCGAGGACTTCTGTCAACACTTTACAGACGTGGTGGTGTGCAGACTGGTGGAGAGGACTCTGCTGTGGCCGAGATCTCGCTGGAGAGAAGTGAGCTGCTACGGGGAGTGGGTTCTACCTCCCCCCACCCATGGAGCACCTCCACCCACTGTGCTCCAGAGTAACCCTACACTGACCCTGAGTAAGAGCAGCAACGGGCCTGGAGGGACCAAGCAGCGTGGGAACAGAAAGGAGGATCGACTCGGTGAGAGTCAACAGGAAGGAAGGAAAAGAGGAAGAAGCAAGCCTGATGTGAACAAAGTGACAGCAGAAAAGGGTGGTGGGAAGGTGAATGGAGTATGGAAGGTGGAGTTGGATAAGAGGAGCCGGTGTGGTGGATGTATCAATCACAGGGACACCTTCCTGCACAATCCACAGGTAAATATAAGATTGAAACCAGGGTTTGCATCAGCACATGAATGCTAAAAATGACTTTTCATTCTTATTAGTTCATGTTTGAGGTGCGAGCCAAAGAGGAGGAGGTGCTGATCTGTCTGCAGCAGGAGGACAGGAGGATGTGGAGGAAAAATGGAAAAGGAGAAAACCTGCCTATTGGCTTTGAGGTGTTGAAGGTGAGCCGGGCCACTGAGCAACCTCACGTTTTTTGAGTCATAAAAAAAATATTTCAGTCCTTCCTCATCATCTGCAGGTGGAGGTGAACCGCTGCAGTCGGGTGCAGTGCGTGGTGGAGCAGGCGGCCAGCTCCATCTACATGGATTCCCGGAGTGTGACACTGAGGGGAACTCTGACTCTGGGACGTTATGTTGTGCTGCCCACCACCTTCCTGCTTCGCCTCTTCTCCCACTCTCGTATCAGACTCAGGTGAAATGCTGGTCAGGAAAGAAGGGTTAGAAATAGCTTTGAACGTTCTGATATTTGTAGATACTGAAAAGGTACGGAGGACCGAAGCTGCCCAAAGGTTTCAAAACAAAAACATTTTTTTACAATTTTATTTTTATATTTTCCACAATTTATGTTTCCAGTGTTTTGAATTCTGCATTTAATTTTTCATTTATCAACGTACTTACTTATTTTTCTGTATTTCATTTTACTTTGCAAAGATATGTAAAGCGCGTGTTCTCGTCAATATTAACAGGTCTGCAGTTTGTTGCAATCCACTTGGCCATTGTGTCAGTCAATATACGTCAATATATATGTCAGTCTACGTCGGACTTAGACTTGCTGAGTCCCCGATGCTCCGTGGGTGGTTTGTCGCAAGCTGGGTGACGCGTTAGCCAAAGTCCTAGCAGCATCCCCAACTAACGTATGCTTGACGTCAATGTGATATTTTAAGCTGGAAGTGCTTTGGTGAAAAGAAAATTTCTTCTTCCACAATGTGCATAATACTTTATGTTGGTCGACTGTTCCGTTTTGTTATTTTTTTAATACTCAGATTTCCCATTGAGAGGGCCAGTGTGGTTAATTGGTTCAGGTGCCCGTCACTACCAGATCTATCTCTGCCTATTGCGTATGTGCGAAGGTAACTCTACTTGGACAAACTGCCCGAAATGCGTTGACAGAAACATTTCAGGGATTTTGAGTCTTCTTCTGCACTCCAGATGCGTTAACTGCGTTAAAAATTTTAATCGCGTTAACCGTGATGTCGGATTAATTTGCGTTAATGCATTAATTTTGACGGCACTAATTAAAATTACTGAAAATTATAAAATGTCTAATCAGAATTAATCAGGTGAATAAATACAAAGTTAAATAATACAGGAAAGGTTTAGGAGGTAACAGAAAACTAAATGTGAGTGACATTTTTTTAAATTAAATAATGAAATACTCATTTTAATATTATTTAGTCTTAAAGTAGATTTATTAATTAGTTTGCATTTTTGTATAGTTTTAATTCTGGTGGTTTGGCCCTTCAATAGGACAGAAAAAAAAACAGTAAAAAAAAGCTGGAAATTTGACTATAATATTTTTTTCTCAGTTAGGATCATATCATTTCTCACACGTCAATAGAAAAAATCTCCTTTTTATTTTATTATCGCTCAGCAGACCTACTTGCCTTAAATCACTGAAATGGTCAGTCAGCTAAGAGCCATAATCTCTTCAGCATGTTCTGTCCTGCCCTGCCATCTCCCTGCAGTTGGACATGGCTGATGCCTGAACATCCTTACTGGCTTCTTTCATGTATGTGGAGGAGCATCGGTTCTATTCTCTGCCCCCCCAAATGACCGAGCAACTTGCCCTATTCCTAAGGGAAGACCCAGACACCCTTACTATAGTACGCTATAGTACAGGAGGGAGGAGGGAACGCCACAAAACGAAGGTGAGCAGACTTAGACTGACTCTTGTCTCAGGGGGAAGGCCTCAAATGATTTTTATGTAACAATATAACATTTTAAAAATATACATATATCATATATATACATATACAATACATAATTTTCACAAATAAATGAAACTAAAAGCACTTGTAGTAAAAAGCTAGAATTAGCAGTATGAAATACACACCGTAATTCAATAACAAATCTGACTTAACGACTATTTTTATCTCCAGTGGTCAGACTGAGCGGTTCGGATTACAGACCGCTGCAGACAGAGAACCAGAAGTTCACAGTTCGCATTCCTTTCTTTTAAAATCATTTTATCTTTTTTTTAAAAGCATAAACATGTCTCATTTCTTTATCAGTACATATATGAGTGCATGCAATGAAATATCCGGTGACATCACTGGGACCCGTAAGGGTGAATCATTTTTAATAGCATTTCTTCTCATTAGACTCAAATCTGTCTTGTAGCATTACTACACATTACAATGCTTACAAAAACAATGCACATATACGTGTATTGCTGATATTCGCAGAGCTCCACTCCTCTGTTTAAATGCAAACAATAAACTTTTGAGAAGAACAAACGGCCCATTCCTTTTATCTGCTCTCATGTGACAGCATTTGATTATCAGGACAGCTGCTATGTGTGAGCAGCTGCTGTAAGAAGTGAAGGACCTCAAACTGCCACGACCATTGCTTTGAGCAGAAAGATGATTTCACCCTAATGACACCCTTAGTAATTCAGCCTTATTTGCATTTTATGTTACAATCGTTCCTTCTTTCTCAAATATTTAACATCAGTTTAACATATTAGCCTGGAAATTTAAAAATAAATAAATATTGAAATATATCTCTGAAAACAGTCCAAAGGAATGAAACATTCAGAAACCTTTTTGGAGCCATTTTTTAGGCCGGTGGTATGAAAAGAACAACAGTTTAAAATTGCATTAAGTAATTGTTTTTCAAACTGTTTTATTTAAGTATTGAAGTGTTTACACAGTGTGTTTCACAGTCATTTTGAAGCTTATCATTAACAACTCTCATTATTAAACCGGATGTGTGTCAGAGCCTGTCACCTCTCGCCTCTTTCACAATCAGCTGACCGCGTGAGCGAGCGCTTTAGTTTGTACGCGCGCTCCCTAGAGGCGGAGGCTTTGCATCTGACTGGCGGAGGCTTTGCATCTGACTAGGTGAGGCTGTCAGAGACGCGAGCAGCTGGCAGGAGCTGAACTCGGAGTGAGCACAAGGTAAGAGATTTAAAAGGGAATCTGTCATTCGTTTATTTAAACACAGAAACTCATTTTTCCCTCCCTCTGTCTTTGTGTTGACTTTTTGCTGTTGTTTGAGGGCTCGAGAGACGACACGCGCTTCGTGTCTGTGTCCCACGCAGGCGGAGACGCTTATCGTCTTAAAAAATTAAGGCGAGGCTGCAGTTTAACGTTAAACGTGCTGGATAGGGAACATTATAAAGCGTATGGGGGAGTTGAAAGCAATTACGTCACTTTTATAGGAACTCCGTAAAGCAACTCGGATGCTGTTAAAAGTTTGTTCAACAGGATCACACATGCTCTACATTTTTCCCCTGCTCGTGATTGTGTCTGCGTTCTCTCTTTTGTAATGTGGAACACGAGCTGTTTCCTTTCCTCTGCTCTTCCAGTAATATTGGTCAAACTGGCTTTGTAGTGAATGCAGACACACCTCTCCGTCTTCCCCTTTATCTTCTTCACTGCAGTTCAGTCGATCCAGTTTCCACACAGACTGAATCCACTCCGTGTTCACCGCGTTTAATCACATTTACTGTCTGTGCTCATAATTAAGAGCTGCAACATAAACTGCAAGAAAGTAAATTGAATTTAGGCTCATGTGGCCCTACCTCAGATGGGAATTTGTTCGATAAGAGATGGGGTCCAGCTGCAGTATGGGAAATGTAGTATTCATTGTTTTGGACTCTCTCTTCTGAGTCTCTCCTACTTTATAGAAGAGACACACTTGATAGCTGGAAGCATGCCCATGAATTATAAATTGTGTTATCATAGCTACTAATGCACGATGCCATCACCTTTCATTTACAATGAAATGAAAATATGTTTGTGTCTAATTCGATGATTGGAGTTTTGGTCAGTAATTTCATTTTTTGTTTAAAGCTTGTCAATTAATAAAAGTTGCTCTTTTATTTTTTTTTATTTTTTTTTAGCAATGACACTGAAATATTTGGGAGGTTTCAGTTGACGGTCTATAAATATTACAAGAATGTAAAATTTTGCAAGACTCAGAGGTGTCCATTTAACCCTCTCAAGGCAAGCGTTGCCAATTTGCAACAGTTAAAAACTAACAACCTGATTACCCCACATACATATATTATGAGTTTTGGTTTTTTTTACTCAGAAGTACCACTGCAGGACTTGGTTGTGCATTAGCAACAAAAAGTTTAATGAGAGGGTTAAGTTTTTTTTGTTGTTTTTTTGTTTTTTAATCAGTTACATCTTATTGAGCGCTCAGAGAGCTTCAGTGTGGAAAATGGCTCCTCCGTGAAATAGAAATATTTCAGACGTGCCATCTCACATAAAGTTAGGGTGATTTACTGTTAACAACAACGTCTCACTAAAAGTTTCCTCATTATCTCCCAATGCTAATGCTAGCTGCCGCTCTGCTAGTGAATTTGGTTTTCAGATTTGATATAATCTTCATGTCTTAGATATACAGTATGTTGTGACTGACCTGGTGTTTCATCAGATTAGATGTGCTGTGTTGCCATGACAATTTTTTTCTGAGAGTCCTTTCAATTGAGATTGTTTGTGGCTCACCACCGCTGCCACCATCCTGTGTTTTTGTTCTTCCTCAACACATCACAGGAACGCTCTCTTTCTTCCTCTAATCCTGGTACCAGTCCTCATGTTATGGTACCAAACATCTGTTGCAGACTGATTTCGTAGTAGCCTGAAAAATACAGAGTTTGGTATCCAATCCTAGTGTGTGTACTGCCAGCAAGCTGTTGTACTTAATCACATTGGGGAAAATTAAAAAAGAATAGAAGTGGTGGATGGTCATATGCTAAAATTGGGTCGTTTTCAAACATTTCTCGATGTTTGATAGCCCGCTTGATGACCTGACAAACCTGTAGGTTGGAGCCCACAGGAGCCTCAGACGAAGGAGGAGCTCACAGACAAAGATACAAATTTCTTGTATTGTAATCAGAAGATTTGTTTTGTTTGCTTCATTGTCACCGCCTTTTCTGACTGCTCAAAATCGCTTTGCACAACTTCACTTTGACCTTTAAAAGAATCTGAACAATTTTTTTTTCTCTCACCAGCTCAGCTCTTTATCTTCCTTTGCAGGTGAAGAAACTCATTAGGAAAAATGGCGAACAGTAACCTTCTGGGACGCATCCGGAACCATCCTCAACCCCCAGCACCCGCTCTAGGTAAAATCTGGTGGAACACTGGTGTCATAGCTTCATTTCTGTAAATATCATGTGAAGAAAATGAGTTCAGTGTTTTATTTTTCTTGCAGCGATTTCAAAGGTGATTTTGTGCGGCATGCCCATTGCTCAGATTGCAATTGGTGAGCTCCATACTTACTTACTTGACTGAGTGTTCACAAGTATTAAAGTTTTCCAGGCAGCTCAGATTGTTCTTTTTTTGAATCATCCTCCTTGTGTCCACCAGGGACAATATACCTTCATGAGTGTCCGCGTG